TATATAAATTGCTGAAACAAAAAGTAGGCAAACAGCATAAGTTAACTTATTTCAGGACGTAGGAAATATTTTTCACTATACAAATATACATCGCACATTTGGTGTAAATAAGTATAAACATGCAAACTGACTTTCCACCCTGTTTATTTTCAAAGAATGCCGCCTTGCATTTATGTACATCTACTTAAATATTTCTGTACACAGTTATATTTGGAAATATACAATTTCTTAAAACACAAAGGATGTCTGATAACACCAGGTGAGATGGCATGGCATAGCACTGCACTTTAAAGGCAATCGTTGCATGTATAAAATATTTCAGAGGAATATGAAAAACAACAAATGTATACACGGTACACAAAATCTGGTGATCAAGATCCCTTTGGACCAAAAGTATAAAGAATGTGTTAAGTGACATTAATGCAAACACAAACAGAATAAACAGAAGAAAAAATCCTGTATTGAGGCACAATGCCAAACTACATGTGTGCTATAGTAGATTTCACCTGCCATGTGAACGCAAGTAACTGTTACAAACTCCTAATTAGGGCTTTGCAATATTCATCACAGGCTAATATTGCAATTGTAGGTTTAACAATGTAAAAGCTGACATCATGAAATGTCACTCACAGCAAACAAACAAAAAAAATAACAAACAAAAATATGTATTGAGACTTCAAGAGCATTCAGACAATGAACGAATTTTTGATGATTTTAACTTTGTCCTATGCATTAATAGTCTAACCCTTGCATTAAACATTTAATTCTATTTTTAATTAATTACAACATATGCTGATGTGTTTAACCTCATATAACTTTGCTCCTTAACAGCTGTGGCTTTGTGTGACTGATAGCCGAGAAGTCAACTCCTTAGAACTTGTTCTCAGCAAAATGTTACAACTGTTTTCTTTCAGAGTGTGCTCATTTACAGGAATATTCACAAAGGGGAGGGGTCCAGGCTCACTCTCTTGTAGGCTCTGTTATGGGTATGCGTTATTTTTTCTGTGCAGATTAGCTATTTCTGCTGGGCTAATCTGTATGGAAGATCTTGTTGCTGTTCTCTAAAACCCAGAGCTCTGTAATGCTTTATTCATCTAATTAATTAAACGAATTGAACTTATTTTAAGCCTCTGACTGATGTTTTAATCTGGGAGGAATGGGAAAAGTCTAACAACGATAACTAATTCAGTAAAGGTAGAAGTTAATCTTCATAAGTTACATTATAGACACAATATTATGGGTTATTTTGCTGTTAATAAATTAATAATCTGTTTTTGAACAAAGCAAGTGAGCCAATGATTGTGATCCATTTAAAAAAACAACACTTGAATCACACACTAAAAAACAGCAAGTAAAGGTCAAATCAAAGTTCCAATGAATTTATGAAGACTGAACAAAGTCTATTTAACAGTATTTTTAACTTATCAACTGTTATTTAAAGCTCTTGTGTTTTTAATTATATTTTCCCTTTTTATATTTCATAATTGCCACATGGTTATGATTCCTCAGTCCAACATACAAATTGCCATGTTATGGTCAATGCCCATTTAACAAGCCCTTTATGTCGTTCAACACTCAATTTGATATTTCAGCAACAGCATCATGAAAAATCTGCATTCATTTTTTACCTTACTGGTGAGTTAATATTTTAAATATGATTTGTAAAGGATGTCTGTGTCAGTGAAAATTAAATAAATAACGGAAAGGTCAATGTGGGTTTCTCAGGCAGGCGTTGAGTTCCTGTCACTGGCGGGGGCTGAGGGTTTGGCCTCATGTCTATGGGGTCTGTGTTGTGGGCTGCTGCGAAGATTGTCATCCATCTGTCACATAAACACACATGACGGTCAGATCCACAGGACACAAGCACTTAATCAATCCAAAAGATGTGCAAGAAGATGTTTATCTCTAACAATGCGATACAATACATGGCCAAAAGTATGAGGATACCACCCATATATCACCCAGCATCTAAAGCAGGTTTATAAAATCAAGCGTACACAAAGAATTAAATAAAAATAATAATACTAATATGGTTACAAGAACTTGCTGTAAAATGAAGTATACATTTAAAATATTGCTAGAAAAAGATTAATCAAAATTATTCACATCCATTAAAAAAACTCTGTGTGTGTGAGTTTGTGTGTGTGTGTGTATATATTTTTCCCCCCAATTTCTGTTTTATTCAATGAATGTATTAAAAGCACATTAAAGACTTTACCCACAAAATAAAACATACATTAACATTTACACTGCAAAGTGCTCGTGGTGTGCGCCTTATACTCACATTGATGAGAACAATGTTCTTACTTTTGTTTTATGCGCACAAAAAATAATTCTCATAGCTTGATAATAATGATATACTGATAATATTCCAATTTAACAACTCATTTGGTATTTTTCTGTACAGTGAACAATTCTGGAACCTTACTGTCTATGGAGAATGAGGGAGCTCTCAGATTTCACCTAAAATATCCTAATTTGTTTTCAGGAGATAGACGAGGCTCAGGGGTTTGGAATGACGTGAGAATGAGCAACTAATAACATAATTTCATCTTCGGGTGGAGTAACTCTTAAAATATTTTCTGAGCAATGCTTCATGCCTGTGCTGTTCCAGCATGAGTGATCCTATGCAAAAAGCAATTAGGTGCATCCCAATACATGTATAATTTATGGTATTCACTCACTGTTCTATTGCGTATTAAAGTATAAATAATGCAGGTTAGCGTGTTTACACTGAACAAAAGAAGAAGAAAAACGTAGACTTTAAATAACTTGATGCAATAATTTTATAAAAAAATAAATAAAAAATTTAACTCTGCCACTGTCGCAGATTTAAAGAGCCCATATTATACATGAAAAAGGGTCGTATTTCGGTTATATGGGTCTCCAACAAGATACTGATATGCATGCAAGGTCAAAAAACATTTTCATAGTCTTATAATATGCATTTATTTTTACCCAATTATCCCAGCGACTCCCATATGAATCCTTAGCGTGAAGCTAATCTGCGCTGATTGGACCGATGACAGCCTGTTAGAATTGGTCAACAGCGTTCAGCACTAGACAAATGCCCATTGCTAGACAAATGCCCAGTGCGGTTTGCCAAGCCCCCGGCGGATGGGCCCGCGCGATAACCCCCGTGAATAACCCCCGCACAGGAAGTATGAACGGCACTTAGCAGTGAAAATAAAACCGATAGCGTGCACATCATTTAATGAGCTTGATTTCGGTGACAGAGCTTTTCTCCCTTCTCAGCTGTAACTTATATCTTTTCTATTTGCAATTATTGCTGTGGCACCTCTTGCATGAAGTGTTATAAGTTCTCAGGGCTTACCTGTACTCTGCTTTGCCCAAAGATCCTATCCCCAGCCAGGGGGTTGTAGTGCTCACCAGTGTGTCGCAGGCTGCCTTTGTGCCTAATAAACTGGCCTTATTTTGCATGCACCCCTGGTGTATTGTCTGCCCATTCTCACAAGTCTCATACACCAGTCTTTTCTTTAACAAACGAATGAATCACCCACTGTAAGCATGTAGCCTGCTGAATCAATTATTTCCCCTCACACTTCCAATAATATCCAGGTATGCACAGCGTCTTCTTGACTTATGACTTCAGGATCTTTTTGTCTTTGTGGCTGTGTTAGTGGGTGGGGCGCAGGTTTAAATTTTCCCGGGTTTCCATAACAACTATGTTTCGTAGTCACGTCACGCCGAAACGGCTAAAGACTCGTTATGAAGACGATTCATTCTAACCACTATGATTCGACTCTTTTTTTAGATGAATCAATAGTTTTAAAAACTGTCCACTTTCAGATTTAAGCCTTAGCTGGATATTTCACTTCACTTAGATCTGTGTTACACGCTACATGGAAGCTCATTTTTGAAAACCCACAATAGCTCTATAATTCCAAGGTGAGACTCCAATAAATGTCAATATAGCCTTAACAATTTGATACACTGGACAGCTGAGTGCATAAGCGCATAATATGCCATGCACATTACGAGATAACTACCACTAAATTAGTAGGAAATATACAAGTATCCGACCATTTTTACAGAACATAATCATTAGTTTATCCTAATTTGGGCACATTTTACTTTCTTTCAGGACTAGATTGGCAAAGTAGTAGACTCTGATGTGTGTGATGACGTTTATAGTCTAAGAATAGCAAACATCTTTTGTTACGTGAATAAATTCAGTTGTGAACAACAGATTGGAGATGCTTTTATGCTTAGCAATCTTAACTTGCCGCATGTCCCTTTTTTTCAGTGACATAAAATAGCAAATTAGGCATGGCTTAATCTATAAAACTGTCATATCTTGTCATTGTTGAGTTTGACAGGGATTCTGCAGATAAACTTTCTAAAATCTAGCAATCCAGCAACAGAAAACTGACATTACTTTACCTAGAGAGCATACAGTGTGAATGTCGGTGCATTCTTAAAAATATCATTCCTTAGTACATTTTTAAAATGTGTTGAGTTTGTAACGAGTATATTATCAGAAACATTAGTAAGGTGTTATATTACTAAAACCGTAATAGACTGATGTAATCACATTACATATGTAATGCGTTAATCCCAACACTGGTCATTTGAAACATAACTATTGAGTCTGCTTGGACTCTTTGCTGCCTTTTGGAGTAATTCAACATCAACAGTGAAGCAGATCCCATCATCCAATATCACTGCATGACCTCCCTTTTGTGTCAGATATTTGGAATACAACTCAACAGTAAGGGTGAATCCACATACTTGACCATGCACTGTAATCGCTAGCAATATTAAATTCAGAAGTGAATGTGCAGATCATATGGAGACCTTTTCAATAAGGTTGGACTCTTTGTTAACAAGCTGTGTCAGTTTCTGGAGGTTTGCATCAACAGGATCATGGGCAACCGTCGGTGAGCCTATAGCGAGAGGGCAGAGGTAGAGAGAAAAGACGACAGGACGCTGATTGTGAAGAAAAGCAGATGGGTTTTTACGCACATGGAAGAAAGGTTAGTAGAATCAGAGTGTAGCCAGAGAGACATAGCTGATCACTTAAAATAGCCACGAGGCCCAAGACCATGTTGCTATTAAACTGTCTATTATGCTGTCTACTGAGCTATTTGAACCAAATGTCTCAGTGTGAAAGCAATGGAAAAGTGATGAATCATGAATGTCTGGTTAAATGATTTCATTCTGTACAGTATGATTAAGCAGAAAACAATTGAAGGTTGAGGTAAACTAATATAAAGAAGAAAAAAAAGAGCAGAGCAAAGCCAATACTATGTTTTTGCCCCTATCCCTGCCTGGTATTAAGATGCGTTTATCGAAATGATCACAAGTGGAAAAAGCAGTCATATTTCTGTTCACAACTTGTATTTAAATGTGTCTCTTTTGCCAACTTTTACCCACGTTTCTGATGAATGAGGGTCCGCGGTCAGGTACTGGCAGGTATCTCTGATATTTTAATTCTAACACAGCAAAAGCTAGCTAAATACTTTAAAAATTAAAAGCTAGCTAAAGTGATTTTTGAATAGACTACTAGTTGTTGACTGATAAAAATATGATATTTTTTCCCCAATCAACCTCTAATACACACTTTATTCTGCTTTACAATTTTAACATGTAAATTTCCTGTATGTTTTTATTGAATTCATAAACAAATACTTTAACCAGGTCCTGGAGGGTCAGCGTCCAGCATAGTTTAGCTCCAACTTCCTTCAACACACCTGCCTGGAAGTTTTAGGCTGTTTCTCAATTCGAAGAACGCAGAAAACGGACTTGCCTTCTTGTGAAGGCCGGTATTGCCAGGTGTCCTCGGAAGAACAAACTCGGGAGACCACGAGGGCAGAGACCGCGTCCTGTGAGAAATGAGAAGCTGCGTTCTTCCTGATGGTCACATGACCTTCACGCGTTTTGAAAGGTAAATTATTTAAACATTATAGCATTCATACAACGATTTATTGTTTTTCTCCCTTTCAAAATATGTATTATGCATAAAAACATTATAAATATATTTTGCACAATATAAATAAAACATATTTTAATACGAATTTCAGCAAACAAACACCCCTTTCCTTTATGAAGATGTCCATGCTTGTTTATATTCACCGTTTCATTTAGGGAAACTCCTGAGGTAAATAAGTTATATCTCTGAACTTTAATAATAAATCTAAATAAAATGCTGCGCTTTCCACCTCCAGTCACAATGACTTCTGGGACTTCCAGAGCGAGTTCGGTGCTCAAGTCTGCATCGGTGTGTCTTTAATATCAAGAACACATCCGGGAAGTTTCACGCTTCTGTTTTTGCGGTCTTGAGTATTGGAAGTGAACTTTGGCAGCTGATAATGACGTTAAACAAGAACACGAGGACGCAAGACCACTGAAGAACGCATTGGGAAACAGCCTTAGTATACCTAGAAAGAGCTTGATTAGCTGGTTCAGGTGTGTTTCATTGGGGTTGGAATAAAAAAAAACAGGACACCGGCCCTCCAAGATTGGGTTTGGGCACCCAGCCCTAGATGTTGCTTTGAATAGAATAAATTGACTTTAGGCACATTAAAGACTCTACCCATGATATAAAATATTCAAAAAGCCTATAAAAATAACCATGCTGTTTGAAGAGACTGAAAAAAATCTCATTTAAAAACTCTATTTTGTTAAATGTGTATTAAATAAAAAAAAATTATAAATATCAGGACTTGTAAAAGAACGTTCCGTTGCAAGCATTTTACATAAGCCATGTTTCCATCCATCTATTTTTATGCACATTTTGGATGAGCGCATAAAAAAATGGTTGATGGAAATGCCAAGATGCGCATACATTTTGAAAATGCGCTTAAAACATGCATAACTGAGTAGGATAAACTTTTTATTCTATAAAAAAAGATGCACATAACTACAATGGAAACACTTTGCACATTAAAAAAGGTCATGTGATTTGTTTTCGAGAGATCATGTGATTCTAAAATGCCCTAACTGTTTGAGTATTAGTGCTATTAAATTATTCATGACCTCCAGAATCAAGAGCGTCTGTGCTTCAAATCTCATGCCTTCAAACGCCACAGCACGTTCATTGCGTGAAGTGCATTGGCTTCTGAGGCACCAGTCATTTATTAAATAAGAAAAAGAATTTGCATTAGCACCTTCTCCTACCACTGCAAATTTAATTTTTACTGCTGATATTTGGCGCCAGTTAATCAGGGAGTGAAGATTTTGTTTATTTTGACTCATTGGAAAGAAATGCTGCTTTATTCGCATTCTTTAACCTTTAATGCGATAATCCAGTTTTGCAGATAAAATTATTTCACATTTTTGGATGGAAACATAGCTAAGGGCTTATTGATTATAGCAGATAATAAACAACAAATATCAAATCTATTTCTCGAGTGCCCTTCTACAGCTGTCCCTCGGACTATGAATGAGCTCTATAAGAAAACCCCTATAAGGTTTTTAATGCCTTTTCAAAAGCATTCGACCACATGTGCAACAGCAGTCTGGTTGAATGCATTTCAAATGCCTCTGGATGTGGTCAAAAGTAGAGAAGCTGAAAACTTTCAACTCCTGTTCACATCTGTACTTACTGTTGTCCACTTGTGACTGGATCAACTAAAAACACATTTTAATACCAGTGGTCTGTTCTTCATAACTCGCTTACATAATGGGCTCTATTTTGACAATCCATGTGCAAAACGGAAACCGCAGGATGCAAACGCATTCAGGTGTGTCAGAATCCATATTTGCTAATTTAAGGACGGGAAAATCCACTTTGCGCCATGGCGCATGGTCTAAAAAGGTTGGGTTTATTTTCTTAACGAGTTATAGGTGTGTTTTGAGAATAAACCAATCAGAGTCTCATCTCCCATTCCCTTTAAGACCCAGCTGCATCGTCTATTATGCTGTTTACTGTGCTATTTGAACCAAATGTCTCAGTGTGAAAGCAATGGAAAAGTGATGAATCATGAATGTCTGGTTAAATGATTTCATTCTGTACAGTATGATTAAGCAGAAAACAATTGAAGGTTGAGGTAAACTAATATAAAGAAGAAAAAAAAGAGCAGAGCAAAGCCAATACTATGTTTTTTTCCCCTATCCCTGCCAGGTATTAAGATGCGTTTATCGAAATGATCACAAGTGGAAAAAGCAGTCATATTTCTGTTCACAACTTGTATTTAAATGTGTCTCTTTTGCCAACTTTTACCCACGTTTCTGATGAATGAGGGTCTGCGGTCAGGTACTGGCAGGTATCTCTGATCTTTTAATTCTAACACAGCAAAAGCTAGCTAAATACTTTAAAAATTAAAAGCTAGCTAAAGTGATTTTTGAATAGACTACTAGTTGTTGACTGATAAAAATATAATATTTTTTCCCCAATCAACCTCTAATACACACTTTATTCTGCTTTTCAATTTTAACTTTGCGCCATGGCGCATGGTCTAAAAAGGTTGGGTTTATTTTCTTAACGAGTTATAGGTGTGTTTTGAGAATAAACCAATCAGAGTCTCATCTCCCATTCCCTTTAAGACCCAGCTGCATCGTGCCATAAGAGCATTTGCTAGTTACATGACGTAAAGTAAGTGGAAGTGGAAGTGGAAAAACTGAGCATTTCACAAGCAAACAGTTAACAGTTTTTTTTAAAACAGAAAACAGTTAAACAGAGCATCTACCGCGCAAGAATGAGAGATAATCGATCTACCTTCACTTTCGCTCTAGTGGATAGGGAATCCTTTATGCACAGACATCAATTAGCCTATGAATAATTAATTTTGTTTGTTGAGCACAAATATTTGTTTCAAAACTATTTCTAAATTCAGTTCTAATTTCCAGCAAACGAATAAATGAACAATAATAACGAAGTGTGTTCAAAAACCTGAGTTTTATCCTAAAACACATGCTGTGCCCCAGATAGTCTAAAACCTGCAGGTATGCAAATCTAAGCTTGTTTTTAATAAAACCAATATAAATCTGGATATAATCAATAATACTGCTAATAATAATAACATTATACAAAAGCAAATTGTTATGAATGAACTGAAAAAGCCTCCCGAGATGAAGAAGGTGTTTTTTTATATTTATGTAGGCTAGAAAATAATGTTTAGTAATATTGTAATCCTTTATATTTATATCCTATATATATTTTTATTATATTCTATATAGATCCTTAATATTTTAATTGTTTCATATGTAAAGATATTTGTGTATTGTTCTACATCTTGTGTGTAGGCTATTAAGCAGTGTGTAAGCGAGGCCCAACTCTGCGCTGGAGTTTAGACCGGGTTTGTTTTGGTCTATTAAAAAATCTATTATAGTTTCTCAAAATAGCAACGCACCAGCAGTGCGCCTCAAAACGCCTTCCTTTTTAGACCAGAACGCCTATGGGCGCACATATGAGGGCAAATGCATTTGCTATTTAAACAACGTGGTGCAAAACAGCAAAACGACACTTACGTTAAGATGAAACTAGCAAATAACATTTGCGCCGCACCTTGCGCCACATTGCGCCGGGTGTATGATAATAATAATAATAATTTTAAAGATGATTTGACAGATCCAGGGTCTTTTAATCTCGATGACTGATCTTCAAACAAGTTTGTGAATAAGATTAAACTGATCTGAGATGGCTGCTGTTGTGAAGGACAGATCTATCGATCCTCGAACTCCTGATCAGCAATGCAACGACTGGCTGGCGGCACAGTAGCACAATGACATCATTTGATTAATATTCAATTATTCATGTGAGCAAAATTACATAAAATTCATAGTAAACAGTTTGATAAATATGACACGCAATGACTTTACACATTTGTTTAGTTTTATATTTAAACCAAATTTTCTTTATTATATTAGCCTAGGCATATTTAAGTTTCTCAGTCTGTGTAAGGAATAACTGGCTGTATAACATAATTTTGCATTGAAACGGCATTTTGATATCGGTAAAGGTGCCTGCAACTTTTTTGCGAAGCATCAAATCACCGACATATTAGCTGTTAAAACATGTGCATGACTACATAAATTATTATTCCTTATGCATTGTCTAATATCATACACAAATTGTACTAAAGCATTTTATATATATATATATATATATATATATATATATATATATATATATATATATATATATATATATATATATATATATATATATATATATATATATATATATATATATATATATATATATATATATATATATATATATATATATATATATATATATATATAT